CTCTGCTTCTTCCTTGATGAGGGAAGCCTGATTCCAGACAAGAGCCTGAGCCAACGTGCTACCTGAATGAGCCTCCCCATGGATGGGATGTGTAGGTCAAGGAAGACAGACTAAAAGGATTAACTGCACAGTGACAAGCCCTGGGTAGAAGGGCAGGGTCCTCTTGACCAATCCTCGGGTGACCCTGATTTTAAGTTCACTGTCATCCTTTCATTTTGGACTCTGCTACCCTGGAAGGGGTAGGATTCAAACGTGCCATAGCTGGAGGGGCAGCATCCAACAATGGGGACCTACAACTGGGTGCACAAGCCGGGGGAGGGAGCGGGGGGGCAGGTTGCCTAGGCAACGGGCAGGGGGGGGGGGGGGGGGGGGGGGGCAGGTTGCCTAGGCAACCTGATTACAGGGCTCAATCCTACCATCATTATTTTATTGTAGTCACAGACACACACACATAAATGATAGGTTCCTGCTCCAAATAAACTTACAAAGTAAATAACAGATTTACTATTGTCTTCCATGTGACTAATTTCATGAGTCATATGAGTAAAGATTGCACAATCAGGCCCTCAGTCTTTTCTGACAAAGAAAACAATTAAGATTTTTGAAACTCCTATAAAAATCACAACTGGAAACAATCAACCACCGAAGTGGACATTTCAATTATGCAGAAATCCACCCACAATCTGCAGACACCATAAAGGCGGCCAGTCTGGCCCAAAATATTTATATGCAAAAGCATACGCAGATGAAAGATAGGATTGCCTAGAAGTTACAGTATGAGATTGGGAGGCCAGACGCTTGTGTTCTGTTTCTGGCAACCCCTGACTTGCTAAGTAGCTTTGGGCAACTCAGTCTCCATTTACCCATACATAAAATGGGTATAACAAGCAGCTATTGATTTATGTTGAGGGGAATATCTGGATCTATTGACCAGATATTGACTGAGGAAAACATGAACACAGTGGGCCAGACTGATCCCAGGTGTATTCTATGGCGCTCCTGAACTCACATAATGTTGGCTTGTCACTAGTCTCACAAACATGGGGCATCTCAAGAAGTGGGTGGCAGCAGTGAATTTGCCAGGAGCTCCCTCCTCGGCTTCCTCTTCTTCCAGACTGTGGAAAGGCTAGGAGCTCTTTTAGAGATAAGATCCAAAGAAAGACAGGCACTTTATCCTGTAATACTGATACCCTTTAAATTCCAACCAGAGCAGTCTCCTCCTCTTCCCCACTGGAGGGAATTTGATAGTCACTTAGTGTTATTTATCTCTCTCCATGAATATTGCGCACACACACATAAGTGGAACCAGATTCAGAGAGGAAAAGCAGAACATTTGCTCAGCCCTGCTTCACTGTGCCCTTCCTTTCTGTCTCTATCATACATATTTTGAAGGGCATCACCAATAATCATAATCCTGTTATCTTTTAATGCCTTCCTTATCTCATCATCAAATTTCATTCCACTGTCTGTCCTGCAGTGAAGGTGCATAGTGCACTAACATTATAAGTCCTCTAATCCTTCTGTTATTTCAACCCAAATTGATTCATTATGGCTCTCTTGCGCTGACAAGTGCAATTCCTTCCACTATACATTTTCACTGACATACAAAACTACACCTCCGGCTTCCTTTCTCCTCTGTTATTCCAGGATATCAGGTGGCATTGAAATCTGAATTCATTCAGGTCTTTCACACTACTGCGACTCTGACTTTCTGCATAACATTATCTCACTTTTTAACTTATATTTCAAATATTTTACTTGGAATAGCTAATCTAGCCAGAATCTAGAAAATCAAAAATATTGCATCAGGATCTGGCCTACTCAGGGGACAGGTAATGTGATATGGACCCTTTCATCAAGATGACCCCAATTCGGAAAGCATTCCTATTCAGTACAGGACTTACGCATGTTTAACTTTAAGTATGTGCTTAAGTCCCACTGAAATAAAATTTTTGCAGATGACACAAAATTATTAGGTCAGTGAAGACTATGAGGCACTTCAGAGGGACTTAATGAAGTTGGTGAACAAGCAACACAAAGCAGATAAAATTCAATGCACAGGATAATGCACATCTAAAAGATTAATCTGAATTACTCCTTCACATTAGTAGGCTCTATATTAAATGTAACAGTGCAGGACAAAGACATGTGGATCATTATAGACAGCTTAATTAAGACCTGTGCTCAATGTGCAGCCGTGTTCAAAGGTAACCAAGATATTAGGATTTGTATAAAATATTATACAAATCAATGGTTTGCTCACACCTGGAATAATGTGTTTTGTTTCAGTCACCATATCTTCAAAGGATATAGCAGAAATAAAAAGGGTTCAGAGATAGATGACAAAAATTATGAGAGGCTTGCAAAGATTTGTGTATGAGGAAAGATTGAAAGACTCAGACTTTAGAGAGGAAATAAGTAAGAGGGGACATGATAAATATATACAAAATAATGAATGGTGCAGAGAAGAAAAAATGGGTGCTTGTACTTACCCTTTCTCATAATAAAAGAATCAGGGGACATCCAATGAGATTGAAAGTTAGCATATTTAAATTGGTAAAATTAAACACACACACACACTTACTTACTTACTTACTGGCATAATTAACCTGTGGAATGCACTGCCGCTAGATATTATTGTGGCCAAGAACTTAATAAGATTCAACAATGGATTATATATTTACAATAACTCCTCATTTAATGTCATCCCGGTTAACACTGTTTCATTGTTACGTTGCTGATCTATTAGAGAACATGCTTGTTTAAAGTTGCGCAATATTTGCTTATAATGTTGTTTGGCCGTGGGGGCTTGGAACCAGGGTGGGCCGGCAGCCCCCCATCAGCTCCCCTCCACCCCCACCAGTGCCTCCTGCCTGCTGGTGGCCCCACAGATCAGCAACTCCCCCATTCCTCCCCGTGCCTCCTGCCTGCAGCAATCAGCTGTTTCACAGCATTCAGGAGGCTGGGGGGGGGGGGAGGCGTTTGTGGGGAGGAGCGAGGACCCGGCACGCTTAGTGGGAGGGGGTGGAGCAGGGGCGGGAAGAAGCAGGTTGGAGGTGGAGTGGGGTGGGGCCTGGGGCAAAGCTGGAGATTGAAAACCCCCTGGCACTTTGGAAAGAACAGCACGAGGAGCAGTCAGATGATCCACCCTCTTTCACCCTCTGACTCCACCACCTCAACCAAGCTTCACAATCATCATTGCTGAGTACAGTATTACACTGTTTTTTTTTAAATTGTTTAAAAATTATACTGTATATGTATATAATGTATCTGGTGAAAAAAAATTCCCTGGAACCTGACCCTCCCCTATTTACATTAATTCTTATGGGGAAATTGGATTCGCTTAATATTGTTTCGCTTAAAGTCATATTTTTCAAGGACATAACTACAACGTTAAGCGAGGAGTTGCTGTATATGGATAATTGTATGATATAAATCCTCATATATTGGGACATAACCTGACCTCTAAATGTCAGAGGGTTAGAAAAATACTTCTATGGACAAATTTTTCTATAAAATTGTCCAGTACGAGTTTTCTTGCACTTGCTTTCAAAGCACCTGGTACTGTCCAGTATCAAGAGGCAAGATACTAGACTAGGTGGATCACAGGTCTAATCAGATACAGCATTCCTATATAACTCTCTGTGGTACTATATCTCTACTGAAACAACAATTTTCCTCTTTTAATGTAGTCTCATACAGGCCACAGTGACATCATACATGTCAGAGGAATGTTTAAATAATGACCTGGTAGAAGAATTCTGTTCTGAGAACGGACAGGAGATGGTGTTATGATGCCATCCAGTGGTAGTGTGTCATCATTGCTTCTAGCATGCATAATGACATGATGAGCCAGCCAACAGGAAGTAGGAGTATGAGCCTGGTTCCAGATGAGCGGAGCCATGTGTAGGATATAGTCCTGGAGTTCCAAGCGGTGTCAGAGAAGTCAGATGACTGCAGCATCGTACACCTGCTGACACAGAGGAAATTGCGACTATCAAGCAGCAGAAGAACATACAGCAGCAAATGTCAAAATAAAAGAAATAAGAAGAGGCAAAGCAGGATGGGAAGCACTGCAGCAGAGGATCATCTGCTTTCCTCAAGCCAGGCGCAGAGGTTGACGTCAGGTATATTGGTGTATATGTGAATTTATTCCAATGGAGTTACTCCAGATAGACACCACTATACCTGAAATCATGCGCCTAACTCACTTAAGTATTTTTGAACATTTTACCCTTGGGTTCCCCCTCTCTCCTTCTTTAAGGAGCTCTTTAGGTCAATATGCAACAGAAATTTCAGACAGTCACATATTCCCTGAAAGATTTAAGATTACACTGATTGGAGGAAAATACTGACAGAAAAGGGAATTAATGTTCATATTATAGCTCAGGACAAAAATCCTCAAAGAATGATAAATCAGTAAGATGTTTTAATTGTAGGTGACTTTGATACAGAAGCCATGTAAATGACAGAGCCCTTCTATTGACTGTTAGAACAGTTATACAAGTATGATTGTCGTCATGCTCCAGTACCTAACCAATAGTGGAATTTAAAAAAGGAATGACAAAGCTGATTTTCAGGAGGGGAAGGAGAGAGAAAATACAGAGCTGCATTCATGCATTTTATGAGAAAAATTGCATAGCTGGTTTTTAAAATGTCTTTTTTGTGTCCTTGGTACTGGTGCTGTGCTTCTTGGGGCTACAGATGACAGTATTCTTCTATCCAACATTATCAGCCCAAGACATGAGAAAAGGCAAGACCTCCTTGAAGAACAAAGACACAATTTAAAGTTGGTCTTGGGAAGAAGTGAATCACTTATGCAGATGTCATACAAAATACTTCAAGTTTCATAAGGATATGATAATCCATAAAATATTGGTTGAGGGTTAAGCACCAGACCCAGCAACCTGACATTTTTCAGACTTAAATGGCAAACCCAGTATGTGGTTGTCTTCAACACCCTGAACTTGATCTTGACTGCAAATTTTAATCAAATTATTTCCATGCATGATCCCCAGCTGTGTAACAGAATGGTGGAGGCATCTCGTTATTTTAAGGCCAGTGCTTTCTTTCAATTAATAACCTCTGGGAAAATCACCATAGCTTATATCTGTCTTTCTTTTTTGCTTTGAAGAACAATATTAAATTTTCATAAATATAAAAACTACAGGGAAATACATTTAATAGTATTCTCTTGTTTAAAAAAACCCAGTCAACCATCCTTTTCCAGAATGCCATGTCGGACAACATTGAAGATAAAAATGTAGACATCCCAAAGGTCTTGTAGATCAGTGATGAGTCTTTCCCCCATGGGCCAGAATGATTCCAGTCCTTGTTGCCAAGTTCTAAGAAGCCATAATAAGAGGACAAAAGCCCCCAAAGTGCCTGAGATTCAGAGAGGCAGGACTGATGTCAAGTCATTTCTGATAACAGTGGCTCATACCAGCATCTTCAGATTCTTATGTGGAAGGTACTGCAAAGAAAAAAGAGATTAAGCGGTATCAACACTTGTCATTATACAAGGGATTTTCTCGAAGAGCCCATTTTAATGGAGAAAAGTGGGAAAGGATGGATCTGATCACTGGTCCACCATGCCCTTTATCCAAATATGGATGTTTCAGAAGAAGGTGAACTGTGCCAACCACACAGTGTTATATGTGAAAGGGAAATCCCTTCCTGACCCTGTGGTAATCAGTTTATACCATGAAGCATAAGGTTGGATTATACTTCTCTTAGAGTGCCTAACAACTAAAGGGATCAGGTACCAAAATGATGAATGGATGACGGGATTAAGAAGTGTCTGCCATGTTGAGAAATATTCCCTATACTTAAAATAGGGTGTTTTACTGGAAGCTCTAATATCTTCAATTGTTTTTAGAAATGACTCTCATAGAAAGATAGTGAGATGCAGTGCTGGCCACAAAACTATTCCACCCTTTTAAAAATCCAGACACAGTATTTGATTTGCCAACCTTCTGCAGCAGGGAGTTCCCTTTCCAGTTTCAATCAGTGTGTGACAGGAAGGTAATTCATGGCACAAAAACAATAGTTTATCTAGAGATGGCCCTGGGGAAGGAAGCTGAGATTCAGGTATGAACTCTTCCAAAACTTGGACCTGTCTAGATACAGAGGGAGTTTGGTCTCTCAGAGATGGGCCCAAGTAGAAAGCTTAGCCTTGGTTATTGAGAGTTCAGTGGCAGAAGGTTTTGAGATCTGCTGTTTCAGTTTGGATCTAACTCATTATTTATCAGATGAGAGGTATCAATGTGCAAATTGCATGCATTTAATTGTAGTGGCTAATTTACTTCTTCAAAAAAGGACTTAAGCATGTGTTGAAATCCTATTTTGCTCAAACAGGTGCTAAAGTGCTTTGCTGAACTGGGGCCTTGGTCATTAATGACTGCCAGCATGGAGACCCAGAACACCGCAGTACGACACTATTTTTCTACCTGCTGGAAGGAGGAACTTCTAGGAAAAGCTGTGTCAGATGTTACATTGCCTTTCCTCTTTCTGCAGCTCAGTCAAGAAACAATGGGCCGGATTCATCCCAGGTACAATTTCACTAAGTCACTGGAGATATGGCAGGAAAGACTGTTATCTTTGCTTAGTGTTGTGTATGTTTGGGGCTGGTGGGGATGTTCTGGCAGTTCTGCTGAATGTGGAGAAGTTTTTATTTGGGGCAATCTCAGGAGATCATTATTGGTTAGATCCCTTAGGTTGGGGTCTCAAAGTCCCAGCCCGCTGGCCATCTGTGGCCCGAGAACCTCCCCATTGTGGCCCACGGAGGAGAGACGCATGCAGCCATGCTGCTCGCAATGTCTGCTGCAGGTGCTGCCCCCCACAACTCCTATTGGCTGTGGGAGAGGGACAGAGATACCATCACTAGTGGACGGGCAGAGTCAGCCATGGAGGCAGCATCATTAGTTGCCAGGCAGAGTCAGTCATGGAGGCAGCGCCACTTTTTTCCACAATGAATATAAACAAGTCAAAATGCCGAACACAACTATCTGATGCACACCTTGCTGCAATCCTGAAGGTTTCAACTGCTCAGTCACTGAGGCCAAACATCACCAAACTGACAGAACTGAAGCGTTGCCAGGTGTCTGGCAAACACTAAAAACTCTCTGGCAGGCGAAGAATTGTATAACGTTGTATGACAGTTTTATTATTTCTAAGAAATTCAAAATAAAAAATACAATATAAATGTTTTCTTTTCTGAACACCATCTTCAGTCATATTGTTGGCCCGCCAGGAGGATTTGAGGACTGGCACTGGCCCTAAGGTAAACTGAGTTTGAGACCCCTGCTTTAGGTGACTAATATTCAGCATTGGGTGGGGCTGGTATTGTCTACTGTGGCTAGACTACAGGACAGCATGTTAACTTATTTGCCACTAAACATTACAAAACTCCACAAAGCAAGAAGCTATCAGAGCTATTGAGGATTAAACATATGGCACATAGAGGTATAGCCTGGTACATCACTGTGTCTAGCTTTCTGATGGCATAGCTAATAAAGAGGTTCGAGAGGTGCTCTGTCTTGTTCAAACCCTTGCCCTTCTTCAACAGGTGCAGAGGGCCACAGACTGTGTGGGTTGGGAGGGGGAGAAGGAAGGGACAAGATTTTGGGAGGCATAGATTCAAGCTCTGCAGGATCTCCTTGTACACTGCATTGCTCCTACTTCCCTGCCAATCATGCATGGGCCAGGGGAGGTGCAGGAACAGAGCTGGTGGATTCACCACTACACTAGGAAGCTTCTGTAGCCTCAGGAAAGTAGTAATAATATCTAGTTCTTATATAGCACTTTTTATCAGCAGATCTCAAAGCACTTTACAAAGGAGGTCAGTATCATTATTCACATTTTACAGAGAGGGAAACTGAGGCACAGAGAAGTGACGTGGCATGCTTAAGACCCAGCAGGCCAGTGACACCCAGGTCTCCTGACTTTCAGTCCAGTGCTTTTATACACTAGGCTACACTGTTTAGTAATGGCCATGAAATGGCCTGGGAAGAGATTCTTTCTCTTGGCCTCCAGAGAGAAACCCAACTACTCAAACTGTGTGTTAAATGTCACTACTTGGGGCATAGTAATGCTATTCTGAGGAGGGAAAGTACTGCCCTTTAAAAAGATTTTCACCATGTTATCATGGATGAACAACTCTGGAAGCCTGGCTTTACAGGGACACATTTATAGAGAGGGGGAATGGATAGAAAGCATCACACAGCACAAGTTCAAACTAAAAACCTCAATGTACCATAAGAAAAAATTAGATGCATTTCCCAGTAGTAGTGTCATATTTTCCTTTCTCCTTGCAATAAAGCTAAGTAAACACAGGATGGAAATATGTTCTTCAAGATACAATCAAAGCAGCTTCAGTTATGGAGTAACATAGCAGTAGCGATTTAGTCCCATATTGTCACAACTATGATTTCTAGAGCCCCTTTCCATTGTATTGCAGTTGACCTCCAGAAGTTCTTCAAAACCACTAACCCAAGGCTCAGTCTACCAAGCTGTTCTTTAGAGATTTTAATTAAAGAGACTTTTGGTTCTGGTTCTGGCTGTAAACTACACTACAGAGCTACGCACATGAATGGATGACAAGGTCAGCCAGGTTAGAATGCTTCCATGACGCTGGAAGATTTCATTAGTCTCTCAGCAAGGAACACTGAGATGTCTAACACTCTTCTGTGTGTATAAACCCAAATTCTGCTCTCAGATACACTCATGCAAATCTGGAAAAACTCTGCTGATTTCAGTAGTGTTGATCTGGATTTATACCAGTGAAAAAGAGAAGATTTATTCCAGAATACAGTATATACAGTAGAGTAACTAATTCATTCATAATTATGGTGCTGTAGGGGGTGGAGGGTGGAGTTACAAACCAAGACCTATGGAATTCAGGGGTATCTTATATTCAAACTCTGATTCAGACCAGAAATTTGCAAATGGCTTCAATCTTTGTGCTGGACTGAATCAAGACCCTAGTACTGGATTTGAATGTTGCCACCTGAATCTCTCTCAAACAGAAAGACAAGAAGAATGCAAACTCATTCTGGAGTTCATATGACATTGGCAGAATATAAGCAAGTTACTGAGACCTGAGGTTGATGGAGCCTTAGCATCATGCTCAAGTTCTGAAATGACATCTGGACTTCCATTCCCTGGGATGGTTAAGATCCAGGGCTGGACTCTGCATTTGTACTTGCTAGTTATCTGTAGGACAAGTCCTGTCCTGTCCTGTCAAGTCCTGTGGGTTTTTTGGGGGGTGGGGTGGGGGAGAGGGAATGTCCATATTCCCAGAAATATCTGTTCAGTGAGCCAAATTCAGTCCTGGAATAAGATAGATGGAACTGCACTGACCTCACGGGGGGAAGGCCTGCTAATACCAGTGCTTAATTTGGCCCAGTAGGTCCTCTGCAGCTTCAGAACATTTCAGGGTCCCTGAAAGGCCAGGTGAGACAGGTCTGTTTGTGTTTCTGTGAGGATTGCATGATTGGGACCTCTGGGTCTGTCATCAGCCCTATGTTTGAAGTGTATTGAGTGGTTAATCCCTGCTGGTAGTGAGGGTGTGGAGTTAAGTAGCAAAGCTTAGTACAGAAGTCAGTTGCCAGCGAATTTAGCAGGTGAATAGGAGCAGCAAACAGGGGAATTTAGAGAGGGAATGTGAAAGGCTTTCTTTCTCGGTACAGTTCTACATTCAGTACTGTGATGGCAAGCAATGGAACACTGGTTGTGAAGATTCTGAAAACAAAGTGCTGGCTAGGTAAGTGATATAAGGGCGAAAGTTTTGATTTGGTGGAACATTACCCATAGAAGATGGACCAGAAGGGGCTGTATAGTTTGGATGGCCTCCATTCAGAAGAAGAAGAACCAACCTTCTAGAGGACAGTCTGGGTAGAATATCTGCGAGGGCATTAAATTAACAACAAAACAGGAGGATGAAAAGTAGGAACAAATGAAACCTCATGTAGTAGAAAATCCTGATGTCAAGAACAAACTTATTCAACCACTGAAGAGAAGAAATTCTTTAAATTGCCTATATCCCAAAGCCAGAAGCCTGGGTAATAAACAAGAGGAATTGGAATTGCTCATTTATGAGCTTTAATTTGATCTAGTTGGTATTACTGAAACTGGGTGGGAAGAGTCATATGATTAGAATGTTACAATCAATGGTTATGACCGATTTAGGAAGCATTGAGTGGAATAAAGGAGACAGGAAGTGGTACTCATAAAAAATGGCATTACCTGTTTCCAAATCACTGACAACTCACAAGCAAATGATCTTGTGCTTCATATAAAGAACAAGATTGGATACTAGTTGGTGTCTGCTACTGAGCACCAAATCACACTAGGAAACAGGATGACTGGCTCTTTAAGCACCTATCTAAAATGTGTAGGGAAAAAAAGTTGCATTATCATGGAGGACTTAAACCTGAATGATATGTACTAACTAGAGGTCTCATGCTGCCAGTA